CAAGGACTTCAGCAGTTTCAAGGACTTCAGCAGTTTCAAGGACTTCAGCAGTTTCAAGGACTTCAGCAGTTTCAAGGACTTCAGCAGTTTCAAGGACTTCAGCAGTTTCAAGGACTTCAGCAGTTTCAAGGACTTCAGCAGTTTCAAGGACTTCAGCAGTTTCAAGGACTTCAGCAGTTTCAAGGACTTCAGCAGTTTCAAGGACTTCAGCAGTTTCAAGGACTTCAGCAGTTTCAAGGACTTCAGCAGTTTCAAGGACTTCAGCAGTTTCAAGGACTTCAGCAGTTTCAAGGACTTCAGCAGTTTCAAGGACTTCAGCAGTTTCAAGGACTTCAGCAGTTTCAAGGACTTCAGCAGTTTCAAGGACTTCAGCAGTTTCAAGGACTTCAGCAGTTTCAAGGACTTCAGCAGTTTCAAGGACTTCAGCAGTTTCAAGGACTTCAGCAGTTTCAAGGACTTCAGCAGTTTCAAGGACTTCAGCAGTTTCAAGGACTTCAGCAGTTTCAAGGACTTCAGCAGTTTCAAGGACTTCAGCAGTTTCAAGGACTTCAGCAGTTTCAAGGACTTCAGCAGTTTCAAGGACTTCAGCAGTTTCAAGGACTTCAGCAGTTTCAAGGACTTCAGCAGTTTCAAGGACTTCAGCAGTTTCAAGGACTTCAGCAGTTTCAAGGACTTCAGCAGTTTCAAGGACTTCAGCAGTTTCAAGGACTTCAGCAGTTTCAAGGACTTCAGCAGTTTCAAGGACTTCAGCAGTTTCAAGGACTTCAGCAGTTTCAAGGACTTCAGCAGTTTCAAGGACTTCAGCAGTTTCAAGGACTTCAGCAGTTTCAAGGACTTCAGCAGTTTCAAGGACTTCAGCAGTTTCAAGGACTTCAGCAGTTTCAAGGACTTCAGCAGTTTCAAGGACTTCAGCAGTTTCAAGGACTTCAGCAGTTTCAAGGACTTCAGCAGTTTCAAGGACTTCAGCAGTTTCAAGGACTTCAGCAGTTTCAAGGACTTCAGCAGTTTCAAGGACTTCAGCAGTTTCAAGGACTTCAGCAGTTTCAAGGACTTCAGCAGTTTCAAGGACTTCAGCAGTTTCAAGGACTTCAGCAGTTTCAAGGACTTCAGCAGTTTCAAGGACTTCAGCAGTTTCAAGGACTTCAGCAGTTTCAAGGACTTCAGCAGTTTCAAGGACTTCAGCAGTTTCAAGGACTTCAGCAGTTTCAAGGACTTCAGCAGTTTCAAGGACTTCAGCAGTTTCAAGGACTTCAGCAGTTTCAAGGACTTCAGCAGTTTCAAGGACTTCAGCAGTTTCAAGGACTTCAGCAGTTTCAAGGACTTCAGCAGTTTCAAGGACTTCAGCAGTTTCAAGGACTTCAGCAGTTTCAAGGACTTCAGCAGTTTCAAGGACTTCAGCAGTTTCAAGGACTTCAGCAGTTTCAAGGACTTCAGCAGTTTCAAGGACTTCAGCAGTTTCAAGGACTTCAGCAGTTTCAAGGACTTCAGCAGTTTCAAGGACTTCAGCAGTTTCAAGGACTTCAGCAGTTTCAAGGACTTCAGCAGTTTCAAGGACTTCAGCAGTTTCAAGGACTTCAGCAGTTTCAAGGACTTCAGCAGTTTCAAGGACTTCAGCAGTTTCAAGGACTTCAGCAGTTTCAAGGACTTCAGCAGTTTCAAGGACTTCAGCAGTTTCAAGGACTTCAGCAGTTTCAAGGACTTCAGCAGTTTCAAGGACTTCAGCAGTTTCAAGGACTTCAGCAGTTTCAAGGACTTCAGCAGTTTCAAGGACTTCAGCAGTTTCAAGGACTTCAGCAGTTTCAAGGACTTCAGCAGTTTCAAGGACTTCAGCAGTTTCAAGGACTTCAGCAGTTTCAAGGACTTCAGCAGTTTCAAGGACTTCAGCAGTTTCAAGGTTTCCACAGTTTCAAGGTTTCAACAGTTTCAAGGTTTCAACAGTTTCAAGGTTTCAACAGTTTCAAGGTTTCAACAGTTTCAAGGTTTCAACAGTTTCAAGGACTTCAGTGTAATCATGCAACCTAATAGGGATTTTTCCATGTAAACCAATATAATGCAACTTAATAGGGATTTTTCCATGTAAACCAGTATAATGCAACTTAATAGGGTTTTTACATGTAAACCAGTACAATGCAACTTAATAGGGTTTTTTTTACATGTAACCAGTATAATGGAACCTAATAGGGATTTTTCCATGTAAACCAGTAAAATGCAACCTAATAGGTTGCATTATACCACCAGACCAAGACCCAAACGAAGACTCAGACCACCACCAGATAATGACCACAGACCAGGTTTCCTTAGTTACAGGAACCAAATTGTTTCAGCGGTGAGGGGATTTTTCAGTTTCAAGGACACTTTCAATACATTCAGTAGTTTCAAGGATTTCAACTGTTTAAGAATTTAACCAGTTTCAAGGATATCAGGAGGTTCAAGGATTTCAGGAGTTTCCACACTTTCAACAGTTTCCAGGTTTAAAAAAGTTTCAAGGATTTCAGGAGTTTCAATGTTTCAACAGTTTCAAGGATTTCAGGAGTTTAAAGGTTTCAACAATTTCAAGGACTTCAGGAGTTTCAAATATCTATCAAGTATTTTAACAGTTTCAAGGCCTTTTAAAGGATTTCAAGGATTCTTTTAGAAGAATTCCACATTAGATCTGTTCCGCAGTCAATCGCAATGGCTTCAGCCATTGCAAGTTTCTAGTTTGCATTGAGAATTCTGCAATGCATTTTAATAGGCCCATGCATTTTAATAGGACTTCAGCTCTTTCAGACATTTCTACAGTTTCAATGATTCAACAGTTTCAATGATTCAACAGTTTCAATGATTCAACAGTTTCAAGGACTTCAGCAGTTTCAAGGTTTCAAGAGTTTCAAGGACTTCTACAGTTTCAAGGACTTCTACAGTTTCAAGGACTTCTACAGTTTCAAGGACTTCTACAGTTTCAAGGACTTCTACAGTTTCAAGGACTTCTACAGTTTCAAGGACTTCTACAGTTTCAAGGACTTCTACAGTTTCAAGGACTTCAGTGTAATCATGCAACCTAATAGGGATTTTTACATGTAAACCAGTATAATGCAACTTAATAGGGTTTTTTTCATGTAAACCAGTATAATGCAACTTAATAGGGGTTTTCACATGTAAACCAGTATAATGCAACTTAATAGGGGTTTTTTACATGTAAACCAGTATAATGGAACTTAATAGGGTTTTTTTCATGTAAACCAGTATAATGCCACTTAATGGGGATTTTTCCATGTAAACCAGTATAATGCAACTTAATAGGGGTTTTTTACATGTAAACCAGTATAATGCAACTTAATAGGGTTTTTTCCATGTAAACCAGTATAATGCAACTTAATGGGGATTTTTCCATGTAAACCAGTATAATGCAACATAATAGGGGTTTTTACATGTAAACCAGTATAAAGGATAACAGTTTAAAGGATATCAGGAGCTTCAAATACTTCAGGAGTTTCAAAGATGTTTAAAGTATTTTAACAGTTTCAAGGATTTCAAGGATTTTTCAGCTAAATTCCACATTAGATCTGTTCCGCAGTCAATCGCAATGGCTTCAGCCATTGCAACGGTTTCTAGTTATTATTATTATTATTGGCCTTAACAAATGGTTGATAACATTTCCAAAAACCATGTGAGATGCCCACAAGAGGTATATTTCAGATCCAAGCAGATTCAAGTAGATATAGTGACTCAAAAGGTGATCAAATGGTTGAGGAAACCATTAAAGGGTTCAAATTAGGTATATCAAAATGGAGGCCAGTAACGGGTACAGTAACTCACAAATTGGTCAGTCCCTATCAATAACAATGTATAGGAAAGATTTCAACGAGGAACAGTGTAGTTGTATGGTTCAATCAGGGTGTGTTTAAATAATAACCGTAATACTCGGAGACTAAGCAACATGATAATTAAAAGACAAAATATGATTCATTAGTTTAGGCCATTAAAATTCTAAGGCCTTGACTCCACCGGGCGCGTCTCCGTCGACGCGCATTGGCTGCTGCCCGTCAGATGTCTGTAAAACGGAATAGTGGCCAAACTGGCTGCAGCAGCGCGCAGCTCTGGCTGTGCGTTTAACAGCACCGTCAGGCTTTGTTTTAAATAGAAGAAGCGGTGTGTGATTTGCTGTGGCAATGATCTATGCAAAGCACGGCATATTGAAGCATCACGGACGTCGCGATGAATGAGGCAAAACTTATTGAAAGCAATTGGAAAAAGGGGAGAGAGAAAAGAGAGAAGAACTCCAACATATATAGTGTTGTGAGATCTGTCTCTCATAAGTGCAGCTCTGTGGGCTGTGTGTGTGTGTGTGTGGCGGTGAGGAGAGCGCGCCTCGGAGGTACCAAGTACTCCCTAATATGCAGTGAACACTTTTTACAAGATAAAGCAATCACAAGTTTGTATTTATTTTATTTCCATTCATTTGGAGCACAATGACACACGTCAAAAGTGTCTCTTACTACTGTCCTGTATGTGCGCTGCAACATTGACATTCAATTGCGTGTTTCACTATTTTCCTCTCCGTCAGTACGTATCATGTTTGGCTGTAGACAGAAAAGCCACAGAAAAGTGGACTATCGCTAATGCTACCAGCAAAATGTACATATAAATCTGCTCCAGTGTAAGGGGATGCATTGGTAACGATAATGATAAAGATCATGTAGGGTGAATTTGGGCAAAAATAGACATTTTATTTAATAGATAAAATTGACTGGGGGGAGAAGGTACGGGTCAACATCCAGTTAGGCGATCCTTAATTTCTCCAAATACCACTCTTTGTGAGCCCTGACCTGATGTCCTACTTCCACCTATAACGTAATCGAACATGTGCTTGAAGCAGCCACTTCTCGATTTAGGAGAGGAAGCTCCGTTTTTAAGAGTTATAGTCCGTTTTGCTCTCGCAGCAATGCTAGTTTCCAATACTTCCGCCGTAAGCTCATTCACAATCCCATGACTGGATGACGTTGATGCATCTGGTCAAATCAAGACTGTCTCGAAGTCGCAGGGCTGTTGGCTCTGGATGTGCGTGTGGAGGATAAATACCTGTAAGGACCTGAGACTGGGTTCTGGTCTGGTTCGGGTTTGACCACGTCGTCACTGATCACACACTCCATCTGCTCCTCTTTGAACACAATCTCTGGAAACGCTTGGCTCTGGCTCTGTGGAGCTGTGAGGCTGGACCCTCCGGTCCCAACATCTGAGGAAGAGAAAAATACATAATTGAGGCAATACAATCACAAACATCTGAATTGGCAAACATTAAACGCTGGGGTGACGAAAGATTTAAGTTATGAAAAAAATATATATATTTCCTGGTTCTCAAAATAGTTTTACTAAATCAGAAAAATAAAACATGCTTACAACAATAAACAAAGAAGTTCTTTAAGAGAATAAAAGGATACATTATTCTAAGAAAAGTGAAAACTGGGGCGTACAGCAGTTTTCATATCCATCCATCCATCCATTTTCTACCCTTTAATCCATTTCTGGGTCAGGGGGGTGGCAATCAGAGATGCCACCCAAGTCTCATATAACCAGCCCCTCAATTCATAGTGCAATATATTGCTTGTTATTTTATTATTTATCACTATTACTAAATAATCATACAGACACGAAAACTATTGATAACACGTTGTGTGAACGCGTTAGCTCCGCCATATTGTAAACAAGCTTTTCAACCATATTAACGCTGTATCTTTAACACTGCCTTTGTGTTAGCCCGTATTTAACACTCTCTGCGCATGATAGAGAGCCGCACCGATCCGGGACAGCTGCACTTCTGGGAGCAGGACCGAGTTGAGGAGACTCCGCAGTCGCTTGTTTTCATCCTCGTAGGTCTGGACCAGGTTTTGGACTTCGTTGAACACATTGACGGCCACCGCGGTGAAGCTCTCCGTGATGAAGGCCCTGAAGTGCTGCAGAGGCTCGCTGCTCATGTTGTTGGGGCTTATTTTACTGTTCTCTCTTTGTATATTACGTCGCGGTCTCTCGTTTATACACGTGTGTGGAACCGAGCAATGCTACCTAATGCTAACTGATGCTAACTAGCACAGCTGACCGACAGAAGCACTACGGGGAGAGATTTGTGCCAATATTCCTCTTCTTCGTTTTTTTGGCGGTGGGCATTAATGTCGCATTACTGCCATCCTCAGTTTCATTGAGTGACTGCATAACATTGAGTGAATGAGGGGAATAAGGCAGAGGGTAATAACTGAATAAGGGTGTAATCGTTTAATATCGCTGTGACAAGTTGATGTTTTGAATGTTTTTGATCTTTTTAGTGTTTTGTAGTACTTTTGTTTTTTTTGTACACAGTCATTCACCATGGATTTAGGTATTGTAACATTTCTCGTGGGCCTTTTTTGTTTCATGTTTTGAATGTTTTTTTTTATCTTTTTTGGTGTTATGTAGTACCCTAACCCTATGCCACATTTGGCTTCTTATCTTATCTTATCTTAACCAGTGGGTCAACAAGAGAATAGTTTGGGACATATGGAATCTTTGATGTGGACATAATGCATGTTTTTGTCGTCTAATAAAAGCCTGTGACATGGGACGAGCTTCAGAAGCTGCAGAGCTGGGCCAGAAAAGCGTTGCTTCTTCCCTATAGCTGTGCAAGCTCTCCATGTGTCGCAATTATAAACTAATCTCTGATTTTGAGTGATTTTGTCATGGATCTATAATATCTGGTATTACTAGCTCATAGCTGTCCCACCTACGTGCTCTTTTGTTACAGGATATGATATTTCCTATGCATCGACTAAAACCATCTGGATTGATCGTAATCTGTCATTGGTCTGAGTTTGTGTCTAAATGATTTAAACACTGTTTATAGGTACGTTTTTAAGATAATATTGAAAATGTACATGTAGTGTAGAAAGGCCGAACCATTTGTATTCAACCAAACCAACTATGCTACAATGTTAGGGCCAGCTATTTTCATGTATTTACATTTCTGTCTTCACATCTTTAAGTTGCCGTAAACTCTTGGCAAATGTGTGTAAAAAAAAATCAATGTTGATAATCATGAAATACTCTTATGTTTTTGTATTAAGTTCAAGTTAATGGAATGCTGTTATTCTTTTCTTCTGTTAATATTTTAATAGATGTTTTTAAATGTAGAATACATTGGTGGTTTTATTTCTCAATTAAATCTCAAGTTTGTGTCCATAATGGCTCTCAAACCCATGGTCAGAGCAGACTCTTCTTCCTGAGAAGACTGAGGTCCTTTGATGTGAGCAGTTGCACATATTTTACCACTTCACTAGCTAAACAACAGACTGGCTGTTGTTTAGCTAGTGCCATGTTCTTTGGGGTTGTGTGTTGGGGCGGCAGTCTGACCTCAAGACACCGTCACCGGCTCGACAGGCTGATCAGGAAATGTGTTTCTGTGATGGGGAGAAGTGTGGACTCTGTGGGAGCTGTGCTGGAGAGAAGGATGAGGGCTCTAGTGCAGCTCTGGCTCCTTTGTTCCTTCGGCTGTCAGACTGTACAACAAACCTGGATGAGTTTATCAATCAACACTGTCTCCAACACTGTTTCTAAAATTTCAAGTGAATTTTAGAAAAAACAGATGAGACATTTATGGACACGTATGAGCTTTAAGTGAGAATCCTTTATGTCTCCTGAGATACAAATCAGAAGCATTAGAGCAACATTTTTGTTACCTATTTACAAATAAAGAACGTTGAGAGTGAAGGGAGGAGTCAGAACTGCTCACTCTGTGGCGTGGCCCCTGCACCTGCTGAAGGACACTTCTGACTCCACAGCAGCAGGGTAAAGTACAAACCTTTTCTTCAATATTCTCACGTCATTATAATGTTTTCTTTGGTGACGTACTTTGTAACTTGTTTTGAAAGTGCCAAAGGAATTATAATTCTCAACACACACACACACACACACACACACACACACATTCACATACACACACACACATACACATACAGTACACACACACAATAACAGACAACAGTTACAGCTTTAAGGAAATGTGTAACAGGTATGTGAGATATTTTAGAGAAAAGTATGATAACTAAGAAGATACTAGCCTAGTCGTACCCAGGGCTGGACTGGCCATCGGGCGTACCGGGCAATGCCCGAAGGGCCGATGCCCATATTTGGGCCGGTCTGTCTGCCTCATACAAAAAACATGTTTGTGAAAAGTGTAAAACCGTTGAGAAATGTTTGAGGGGAGCGCGCGTGTCCGCGGGGCACCTGCTGTATGTACTCGTCTCGAACGGGATTCCACCACCTCAGCGGCCGCAGTGTTCCCGCATCCAGCGGCTCTGAGCTGGACGCAGGAACCGCTCACAACACAACACTGTGAGCGCGAAGCCGCAACGTGACCATGTACCCAAGACCATAAACACGCACAGGACCATGCATGTCTTTTTGTAATTTGTGCACCCAATAAATACACCGCTGCAGAAAACAGTCCGCGTCTCCCCTCTCCTCTAAATTAAAGCTCGGGTACCTAAATTTTCTATTGCATTAAAAGTTCATGTTTGAGCCCAAAAGTAAAATGCTGTGAACAGATTAAACAGATTTAGAGCCAGCTAATGGCTGACATTATGCATTTCAGAAATGTTTACCAATTCTCATCCCTGTAACAAACAACAGTGTTGTCTGTGCCCACCTCCCTCACTCTGAGACATGTTTATTACTCTGTTTAATGTGGACTATTGTACTTTATTTTATAGTTGAAACTGCAGACATCCTGATCCTCTACAGCAGTGTCTCCCAAAGTGGGGTCCGCGGCCCCCTGGTGGGCCGCGAGGGTACTGCAGGGGGGCCGCGGGAGGTCATAAAAAAAATAAAAAAATAATATAATTATTTAATGTTAAATTTATAATGTTTTGTTTGTAATATTAAAATATTTGTGTTCATTATTTGACTTGAATAATCCACTGTAATCATTTTTGTATTACAATGTTTGTAGCAGAGGCTATTTCCCCAAAATAAAATAACCAGAAGAGCCTATTCTTAATGTTGTCTTTCTTGGTTATTATTTTGGGGGGCCACGCAGACCCGTCAGATTTTTAAGGGGGCCTCGGTGTTACTGAGTTTGGGAACGGCTGCTCTACAGTATTTGCTTCCACATACTTTATAAACCAGGGGTCGGCAACCTTTAGCGCCCCTAAAGTGGCTCCTGGAGCCTTTTCAAAAATGTCTGAAAATGGAGTGTGAGGGCTATATTTTATTTCTAGTTTGAATGTGGTTTCTGTAGGAGGAAAAACATTATTAACGTTTTTCAATGCTGCAAAAACTTGTATAAGTAATATTCAATTTCAGCATTTCTGTCAACGTAGTGCGTCATATCCTGTGACGCGGCCCGTGCCAGGCGGCCGCTGCTGTAAACAAACCGGCGTGTGAGCATTATAGACTGTGTGTGAGCACGGATCCCAAAGATAAAGAGAGAGAGTCGATAAGACTGGACTAAAAATGAGAATGAACATTTACTTTCAGTCAATGAGGAAGGACTGCTTCATGTTTGTGATTTAATGAAAAGTTTTGTTGCAACAGGAGAAACAATGAAGCTTTAAACACTGTTCACTGAAGGATTCATTCATCATAAAGTCAGAGCACCTATTTTCAGACTTCAAAAACCTTCGGAAAGACGTGAAAGAAAAGGCCATTAAGGACATTCAGCTCCAGCAAACTTCAGCCTGTGACGTGATGGATATGAACAGACAGTGATGCAGGTGAACTCGGAGCCAAAAAGCAGATTTATTTACTGTATTTGTACAATTGCATGAAGGCAAAAAAATCGAAGTTAAACTTAAAGCAGAGTTGTCACGTGGTGCGTCATTCTCTCCAGGACACGCTGCAATGAAAATACACATTTGATAATCATGAATGGTTTTTATGTGTTTAGCCTTTACTTTGTCATTTAGATATTAGGCTAATATAGCTAATATAGCTAATATAGCTAATATAGCTAATGTAGCTAAGGTAGCTAAGGTAGCTAATGTAGTTAATGTAGCTAATACAGCTTCAGCCCCTGTTACCTTCATATAAGCCTTATAAAACGCTGTATTTTTTTTTTTTTGCGGCTCCAGACAGATATGGTTTTTAGTTTTTTTGTCAAATATGGCTCCTTGAACCTTTTGAGTTGCCTGGGCCGCTAGGAAGGAAAAAATGCCCGGGCCGTTTTTTTGTTGTACAGCTTATAAGAAGTTGCGCTCATGCTAATGTTTGCATATGTATCAAATCGCAAATACAACTAAATGCCTCCGTGGGATGAGAGCGTAGGGGAAATGAGAAGCCTATGAGCGAGTGGAGGGGCGGTCTAAACATTCAAACCTTGCAGAAACGGGTATAGCTCCTTTAATAAGGATGGTAATCTGAGTTAAATTATTTTCTCTGTATTGTAACCACATGTACAAGTGAGACAGAGTATAAAGAAATATACAATATTTACAAACTGCACTGTTGGTTTAGCTAAAGTGATAGTCCACAATGCAAAATTCTATCCATCCATTTTCTTCTGCTTAATCCGAGGCCGACCGATAGTGTTGCTCCTTGACTCGACGAACTCCTCCAAGTTCCAGGGTTTTGCCTCTGCAACAGCCCGGGCCACGGCACACTTGGCCAGCCGGTACTGGACAGATGCCCCAGGAGTCCCACCAACCATCATGGCTCAATAGGACTCCTTTGGCAGCCTGACAGCGGCACGGTGGCTGAGTGGATAGCACTCTCGCCTCTCAGCAAGAAGGTTCTGGGTTTGAATCCGGTCGGAACAGGGCCTTTCTGAGTGGAGTTAGCATGTTCTCCATAGGTTTCCTCCTGCGGGGACTCCGGTTTCCCCTACCACTAAAAACATGTGCAATAGTTCACCGTGGGACAACGGATGGAAATTAGCCCATGGCTACAATCCGGAGTGATGTGTTCGTTAACATGGTCTGTCCCAACCAAATAAACAATGAATAAATAAATA